AAATATATACAATTTGATTACAAATTATTGAATTAATTGTTACAAACTATTTTTTTTATCACAAATCAAAAAATTTGTATGTCACAATTTATTCATTAGTCACAATTCCGGCAACCTCTACGACAAATATTCCGATGACCTCCGGCAACTACCTTTTTTCCCCTTTCTTCTTATTTTGGCAATGACCCGTGACTAGTTTTATTGAATTTGTGATCTAATCAAGAGGGATGAATATGCATATAACAAGACTTGTGTTACATGTGATGAAATTTTTTTTTTATGACAAGATCTATGTTATATGTGACTAACTGTAATCAAATTTATCTTCCGTGTGATTGTATGTGACCATCTAATTTATAATTGTATATAAGCAAGTCACTAGTTGTGTAATATGTGACTAATTGTGACCAAATTTGTATTCAGTGTGACTATTTGTGAACGTCTAATTTGTGGTTGTCTGTAACCAAGTCACTAACATGTATTATCTGTGACTAATTGTGACCAAATTTACCTTCATTGTGACTGTCTATGACCAGATCAGTCTTTTAACTGTGACGAAATGTGATCAAGTCACAATCAAGATAGAATTGGTCACAATCAGTCACAAATCACAATTTTTTTAAGTTGAAACTTTTTTATAGATCAAAATTATTAAATTAATTGATCACGACTTTTTTGGTCACAAATTCCACATTTTATAGGCCACAACTTATGTATCGTCGGCCACAAATTCTCAAATTTATTGGTCACAACTTCTTGCCAGTCGTAGATTATCAAATTAATTAAAAATTCATTTGTCCTCTAATTTTCATACTTCTCAGCATCCTTTTTCCAAATCTTTTCCTGCATATTCTCTTCATTTAAGATTTCATATTGTGGATTCAAATTCAATAACATCAGACAACGTTGAAGAATAAAGAAAAGTATAAAAAAAGAACTAAGAAAATAGTACACAATAAGTGCCAAAGACACAATACTATTCTCTGCCTAGAAATTTAACAGAGACTTGCATCAATAGGTGTAATTTTTCATGCTAACAAGGCAAGCTCCTTCAAACATTAAACAGACATTGAGCATAAATTAAAATCAAATAAAATAGTGTTCTATTAATGTATTTCAAACGCAAACTACAAAGTTATTCCATGTAATGTTCTGAAAATCTTCTGTAACTCGATTGCTTGTAAAAAGAGAGAAAGATCAGTTTTGCATCAGTAGGTAAGGTGTAAGCGCACTTACACCTGTAGGTAAGGTGTAAGTGCACTTACAGACAAACATGAGGTGGGATGAAATTTCTTGGATTCATTTGCCGCTGTGACCAATTAATTTGAGGCCATATATACAACAAGAACACTTAATTGTCTTTACACCACTTTCCTTGACATCTTCCAGCAAGTTGCAAGAATATGATGTAAAAATCGAGTTAACTACAGAAGACTACAAATCTCAGTCTACACCACCGCATAAATGCTCTACATACCAACGACGAAGACACCACAACCACCGGAGATCACATATCGGCGACGAAGACAACACACAATAATGCTCTACACCGCGCAGATCTACACACCGTGAGCGTCGTCGGCGGTGGCGACACCCTGAGCGTCGCCGATGGTGGTGACATAGTGAGCGTCGTTGATGGTGGCGACATCGTGAGCATCACCGAAGGTGGTTTGTGATAGAGAGAAGGGAGAGATAATTTAGAGAGAGAGGATGATTAGGGCTTCACCACCTCCCCAAATTTTTCGAGCCCTTTAACAGCCCCGACCATTACTGGAGATCCAAACCATAGCTGTGAGGCGACAGTCAGCGTTGATATGTCTTTAGGTGGAGTAGCCGTCAGCTGTTCTCACGGCGCCATTGTGGTGGATGTATTCGCCGGAGTCGGGGAACTAGAAAACATAGAGAGAGAAGGGGGGCGAGAGACAGCAAATTGGGTGTGGTGTGTGGTAGTTATGAATTTAATATAATATTTGTTTAATAATTCTTAATTACCACCTGAATTATGAAATTAAACTTAACCTCCTTTATTTATGAAAACTAGTTTTTAAACTTAGGTTTCTAGGTAATTTTCCCAATAACTTTTTCTCAAGTACAAAATTCGCCATTTACTATGAGCTTCGAAACAAGCCCAATATTAATATGAAATTTCTAGCTAGAAGAATACTTGATTATTTGACCAAAAGTTAAAATTTTGACACTAAGATTAATTTTTAAATTTGTCCCTTGGTATCTCAACTGACGAAACATGTCAACATGAAATAGATAAAAATTTATTTTTGGTTGCTACATAAATGGCAATTATTCTTTCCTGTTGGTGTGTTTTTCAGATGATCGAAGAGTTTTTTTCTTGATTTTCCTTTTCGCTGATTATTTTGTTCAAGAAAGATGCAATAAAAAAAAATTTCTTGACATTGTATTATTGGCCATACATGGCAAGGTATACTTTTTAATTTTTTTTACCCCATCTTGGTGTTCATTTTCATGATGCAATCTAGCCATTCTGAGAAGCTTCCTTGGAGAATACCACATTTCCACCCATACTACAACGTGAGAAACAGTTGATGACTAATGAACCTTCCCAAATGATATATATATATATATATATATATATATATCAGAGTGCCTACGGCCGGCTCCCCCACCACCGGAGATCGGCCACGTTGAAGGTACATTTTTCGAGATCAACACACACACGCACATATACACACATATTTTCATTATTTTGTTAATGGTATTTGGTGAGGGGGAGCTAGTTTAGAGTTTTTTTTTTTTTTTTAATATCGAGACTGCATTTGAGACTGATTAATGATCTAACAGGGAAAAAACTGGTGGATAATAATTCCAAGTCAAAGTCTCCTCATTTTGGTGGACATAATTGTCAGTATAAAAATGATGGCTAACTTGCTTTTTTGTTCTAATGTTGATGTCGCCACTTACAAAAAGATGTGCTGCAACCTTGAAAATTCTATTAATCTAACATTAGTTTGCACCATTTTCCTCAGGTGGTCCCTTAGCTATTGACATTATTGATAGAAAAATGTATAGTAGAATATAGAAATTATTCATTGTTCATTTTGCATTAGTTAGTCAAGGCTTGATTGTAAAATATCATGAATCATAATTTCTGTAACATCCCAATATTCTTATGGTAAATTTTAAAAAATTGAGGGACTAAAGTCAAATATATTTAGATTCTTTTTTTTTTTTTTTTGGATCAAATAATTAGATTTTTTATAAAACAAGCTTTAATACATCAATATTGGACTCTTTTTGTAGCTTGTAATTAATTAAGTATTTCTTCGACTCGAGTAAAATTTAATTCGGATAAGTTAGACCCAAGATATTTAAGTTTAAAGAAGTTATTATTTATTAGTATTTAATTAAGTTGGTTATTGATTTTAAAGTCGTTGATGGAACATGTATAGATAACTTTTTTATTTGGATTAGGAAAAGAAAGAGATAATTGTAACACCGGTATACTGCATCGTGAGAAACAGTCCATGATTGATGAACCTTCCCAAAAGGCAATTGTTATCTTCTCAATTAAGCCCTAAACATTGAGCAAGTGTGTGTGTGTGTGTATGTGTGTGTGTGTGTGTGTGTATATATATATATATATATATGGAAAAAACGAGTGGATAATAATTCAATTGGTTGAAACACGTGTTGCTTCCGTCAAAGTTCCCGTCAAATTAAATGGCTTTAACATTTTAAAAATTCCAAGTCAAATTCCCCTCATTTTGGTGGACATAGTTGTCAGTATAAAAATGATGGCTAACTTTAACTTGCATCTTTTGTTCTAATGTTGATGTCGCTACTTACAAAACGACGTGATGGAGCCTTGAAATTTCTATTAATCTAACATTAGTTTGCACCATTTTCCTTAGGTGGTCCCTTAACTATTGACATTATTGATAGAAAAATGTATAGTAGAATATAAAAATTATTTATTGTTCATTTTGCCATTAGGTAGTCAAGACTTGATTGTAAAATATCATGAATTTTAATTTTGGTAACATCCCAAAATTCTTATGGCACCTTTTAAAAAATTGAGGGACTAAAGTGAAATATATTTTAAATTCGTGTGTGTGTGTGTGTGTGTGTGTGTCAAATAATTAGATTTTTGATAAAAACAAGCTTTATTACATCAATATTAGACTCTTTTTGTAGCTTATAATTAATTAAAAATCTTCTAGTCAAGTAAAATTTAATTCAGTTAAGTTAGACCCAAGATATTTATTTTTACTTAAGTCATTATTTATGGGTATTTAATTAAGTTGGTTATTGATTTTAAAGTTATTGATGGCTAACTTTTTTATTTGGATTAGGACAAAAAATAGAGATTGTAATTCAAATTTTCATCATGGCCAATTATGATTTTTATTTGACTAAAATTTCATTACTTTTCTTTACTTCAATTCGAATATTAGTATACTATATCGTGAGAAACCTTCGATAATTGATAAACCTTCTCAAAGGCATTTGTTATCTTCTCAATTAACCTTCAACACTGAGTAAATATATATGATATCAAAAAAATTGTGCCAAAAATGTTTTAGGCACCGTATTTTCAATATTTTGTTAATGGCATTTGGTTAAGGGAGCTAGTTTACTGTTGTTTTTTTAACATTGTGACTGGATTTGGGATTGATTAAAGATCTAACAGGGAAAAACTGGTCTATTAAAACTTTATAATTCAATGTTTTTACTAATAGATTGAAACTAACTTGCTTTTGTCAAAGTCTCCGTCGAATTAACCATTTTAGTAATCCCAAGTCATAGTCTCCTCATTTTAGTTTGCACCATTTTCCTTTGGTGGTCCCTTAAAAAAAATAAAAAATAAAATAAATTCAATCAATCAATCAATCTAAATGTCTTATTTGCTATCTGGAATTTATAGGAAATTTCCTAGAGTTTGGACAATAACTTAGGGACGATATTTTTATACATTGAAAAAGTCATAAAAATGAATAGTAGTAGTTCCAGTCAATCAACTCTACACCAAGTTTATCCTTTAAAAAGGGATGCTACCAAGGCTAAAAATCCACCAAGCAACATATATAGGAAATTTTTACAGCGCTGCTAATAACTCAGATAAGCCAGAATTAGTGTGTTCATAATTAAGAAAGATGGGAATAAAGTTACGGGTAATGTTAGTGATGATGCTGCTTTTGTTACTAAATGGACGGTATTGTTTAGGGTATTGGGAGGAAGAGAGGGTTGCTCTTTTGCACCTCAAAGAAAATATAAACTTTCCAAATGGAGAATCGCTACCTTCATGGGTGGTGGTTAATGAGATTGGAATTGACTGTTGTCAATGGCAAGGGGTTGAATGCAGTAACACAACTAAACGAATAATCAAAATTAATCTTGATGGTGCTAGGGATTTGAACTCTGGAGATTGGTATTTTAATGCCTCTCTATTTCTTCCCTTTCAAGAGCTCAGAATTCTCTCTTTGTGGGGGAATCAGTTAGTTGGTTGGATTGAGAATGAAGGTATGATGACATCTCTCCTTAATTAGGTAGCTTCAATTTTATCATTCCTATTTTGTTTCAGTGATAATTATAGATACGTTGAGCTTTGTTGTAGGTTTTGATCAATTGTCAACGTTGAGAAATTTGGAGACCCTTGATCTGGGGGACAATTCATTTGATCGCAAAATTTTGTCATCTCTTAGTCAGCTTTCTTCACTCAAGCTTCTGGGACTTTGGGGCTGCTTTTCAAATAGAGAAATTTACGGCAATAGTAAGTTCAATATACTTCATATTCTGGTGGTTATTTTGTAGATCATGTAATTACCGAAGAATCAACCCTTTAGAAAATAAATCAAGTTATTATTAGAGCTTGTTTGGGAGTGATTTTGAGAATTGATTTTTTGACCGTTAGGAAAAAGTGGGGTCCACCTGTGAAAGAAAAAGTCAAATATGACGACTGAAATAGTGAAATAACGATCAAAAAATAAATTTTTTGGGTGAAAAAATCTGGCCCAAACAGGTTCTTATTAAACTTTTTTTTTGTTGCAGAATCAGATAAGCGATTTTCCTAAACCTTTAATTTTCTCTATTAGAAGAGCAGATCAAACAACCAATTTAACCTTATTATTGTATTATGAGAAAAAAGCAAAGAGAGTAAATAATTTTAAAATACAGTAACAGTAAAACGCTTTTATGAAGAAACATATAAGTTCAAGAATTTTTGGAGTGAAGACAAGTTAACAGAGTTCCAACTTTCATTAATTCTATGAATGCAAAAACAGAGTCCATCGAAAAAAACAATACAAAAGCCAGAAGCTTAACTTGAGATTTTATCATTAATTTAAGTTGTCTGTAAAAAAGAAATCTTGGTTTCGTTTTAGATAAATCTACTTACCGTAGTGTAACTTGAAAATTATGCAAATTGCTCTCCTATTACATAAAAACATTGGTCATTTGTTCCTTCCTAATAAGTTTAGCATTACTATTGTATATGTTAATCGTATTGAGATATATATTAATTGTGCAAATCAACCTAAGTAATTCCAATGGAAAAGAGTAAGGGCATGCTTAGTAATTGAAAGTACAACAAATAAGACATTTTCATCTTTAATATTCAAATACTCCTTACCACAAAAGCAATAATATTATTTTCATGATTCTCGTCCATTATGATTTTGTTTCAAGTCTTAGTAGATTGATGGAACAGTAGCCATAATATTATTTAGCATTTCATTATGGAATACACCTTTCTTTTTGTTTAATTATTGTCTCTGGGCATCATTTCAATGTTGAATAGCATTGATGAAACATATAATTATTTTTTACTAAAAATCATTATGTAGGTCGTGAAAGACTCTTCGGATTAACCAAGTTGGAAGTTCTTAATTTTGCATCTAATCATGGGATTATCGACGGTGACATTCTATTAGTGCTAAGTGAGTTTTCTTTCCGCAAGCCTGATATATTGCTTTTAGGTCATAGGACCTTTTAATATTATTTTTTTTTTTATTTTTTGTGTTTTTCGATAGATCTGAATGATTTTATCAATTTGAAGGAGCTCGACCTAAGTCAAAATAAACTTAGAAGCTTGGGTACCATTTACGGTATATCATCTCATTTCATTCTTTATCCTCGTTCATTTTTAGTTTCCTTTTCTTTCATTACTTCACTTGTGCCTTATTATGTAAGAGCAAAAGCATTCATGGTGTTTTGCTCCCAAGTCCTTCCTCTCGCTAAATAGTAGTTTGTGGTTTATTATATAGTATATTGTAACTTATTGTGGATTTGGTTATACAAACAGGTCTAAAATATTTGAAGGTCCTTAATTTACAATCAAATTACTTCAATAATAGCATTTTCTCCTCACTTCATGGGCTATCATCACTCAAGTCTCTAGATTTCTCTTACAATAAACTAAAAGGAACCATCCAAATGAAAGGTTAGTTCCATAGTTTAGAGCTCCTTATTTTTCTTATTTTTAGTCAATCGAAACTGAGTTCTCAATCATCATTTTCATATTTTGCTTGTACATGTTTATTTCTCCACCTCTATCAAGATTTACGGGCTTTGAGTAATTTGGAGGAGCTTGATCTAAGTGGCAACGAGGTCGACAACTTCACGACTCTAAAAGGTACTCAACTAGGTTTTTCAAGTTTATATTTTCTAAATAATGAACTTCGATACGCTTATACTTGAATATTACCCTAGACAGTTCTACGTTTCAGGCATTAAAAGTATACATAGTCTCCAAGTGCTAAAATTAGATTCCTTATATCTCTCCAACATTAGCAATATGGTGCAATCTTTGAGGGCATTCTCTTACCTCAAGCACTTCTATTTTCGGCGCAATTCTGTAAATGGAAGTATTGGATCTTACGGTAAGCCAAAAGAGCTGTAATTCCTAGTCCCATAAATAATAATACTAATTACAATATGAACTCCAATTCTCATGCACATTCCATTGCTTGCATGTATAAGAGTTGGGACATTTAAGACGGTTGGAGGGATTGTTCTTGGATAATTCTACCGTGGATTGGAACTTTCTACAAAGTATAGGAGCAATAACTTCCCTCAAGATTTTATCTTTGTCCAGATGCAGACTCAATGGCACCCTTCCCATTCAAGGTAAATGTCAATGGCTTGTTTGGTGAACAATGTTTTTCATGACTTCGCATGCTGATTAACGAAATGTTTCTTCAATTATTTCTATTTTCACAATTTGAAAACTTTCCTTGCATCTCAATCAAACTTTTGGTTAATGAATGCAAGGTCACCTCACAATTCTCTTTTAATGGATGCAAAATTACTATACGATTTTTCAAAATACAATAGATATTGATTACCTCACTATTAAATACAGAAAATAATTTGGGAAAATAAAAATAAACCAGAACATTTCTTTTGGATCAAACGAAGTATTTAACTTCGTCAATTAGGACTTCATAATTAATATAATTTAAAAAAGTTCGGCTAACCTTACATACTTAAAAGTAATTATATTTTTACAATCTATAGCTTTTTTTATTGGTGAGAGTGGAAATAAGTAAGTTATTAGTTGCATTCAAAATAATTAACTTATTGCCATCTTACCAATGAAAATAAATCACTTTTAAAAAAGGAAACTTTCTTAATTGAAAGTAAGGTCAGAGACGGAAAAAAATTGCTTTCTTTCATAAGCAAAGCCTTTATATTCCCTATTTCATTGATGGTTTGAAGAAGTAATTGTATTCGTTTGATTTGCAGGGTTGTGTGAACTTAAAAACCTCCAAGAGTTAGATCTTAGTCGAAATAAGTATGAAGGAATACTTCCTTCATGTGTTGCAAACATGACATCTCTTAGATTGGTTGACCTGTCAGACAATACATTCACTGGAAATATCGCTTCTCCTCCACTTTCCAAACTCACATCACTTGAATATCTCTCCCTTTCAAATAACAACTTTCAAGTTCCAATTTCTTTCAAGGCATTCTTTAATCATTCAAACTTTAAGTTTTTATTTTTGGAAAATAATGAAATAATAAACGACAACGAGTTGGGAAATTGGGTTCCCAATTTTCAAGTGGAGGTTTTTATTATGTCGAATTCAAGAGGTCATCCATCATTACCCAACTTCCTTTACTATCAATCCAATTTGAGAATTCTTTATCTCCCAAATAACAACATAGGACCGAATTTTCCAACTTGGTTGGTGGAGAACAACACAAGACTTGGGGTACTATCCCTGAGGGATAATGCTTTTACAGGACATCTCAAGTTGCCGACAAGAACCAATCCCAACATGGAGACTTTTGATGTATCTAATAACAAGTTCAATGGACATGTTCCAACTAATATAACTTCAATTTTTCCAAACTTGGTTGAATTACACATGTCAACAAATATGTTTGATGGTTGTGTACCTTCTAGTTTCGGTGACTTAAAATCTATAGAATACATAGACTTGTCCAGCAATAACTTGTCAGGCACAATACCGCAAGAACTAGTTATGGGATGCTTTTCTTTGCATTTTCTCAAATTATCGAATAATAAATTGCAAGGACAAATATTTCCAGAATCTATCAACCTACAGGACTTGGAATATTTATTTCTGGATAGCAATGAGTTCTCAGGCACCATTCCAAAGAGTTTGTCTACCATCCCTCTTGTAGTGTTAGACGTTAGTAACAACAGTTTATCGGGCAGAATTCCTACATCAATGGGTAATATGACAACATTGTATCAAATTTCTCTGTCTAACAACCAGTTTGAAGGTCCAATCCCGGTGGAAATTTTCAATCTCGATGATCTTACGCTCTTAGATTTATCTGAGAACAAGTTATGTGGTTCAATCCCATCTTGCTTCAATTCATCATGGATACGTTATGTCTATCTGAACAATAACCAATTGGAAGGTGAACTCTCATATGCATCTTATAATAGATTTTCTTTGACGTCATTGGATCTTAGATGGAATAAGTTCATCGGAAATATCCCTCAATGGATTGGCAATCTATCAAGCCTGAGTGTCATTCTTCTCAACCATAACCATTTTGAAGGCACAATCCCTCACCAATTTTGTGAGATGGACAAACTAAGGATGATAGACCTTTCCTTTAATTTTCTTTCTGGTCAAATCCCGCAGTGCTTTGGTAACTTCACCTGGGAGAAGTCTGGAAGGTTTGAAGAACCATTGATGTCTTCATATTCAACACCATTGTTTTACATGTATAAGGTTAAGTTAGAAAGGGCCTATCACGTGACTTACAACGGAACTGGAGATCTCAGTATATTTGTTGTACCAATTACAGCGACGTTCATGACAAAGAGAAATTCTTATACTTACAAAGGTAGCATCCTCAACTACATGTCAAGACTTGATCTCTCTTCTAATAAATTACATGGTAAAATTCCGGCCAGCCTTGGAAATTTAAGCGAGATTCACTCGATCAATTTGTCACACAACTATCTTATTGGAACAATTCCAGAAACCTTCTCAAACCTACGTCAGATCGAGAGTTTAGATCTCTCCTATAACAACTTAGGTGGGAGGATCCCCACTGGTTTAATCAAGTTGAACACTTTGGAAGTCTTCAGTGTGGCGCATAACAATTTAAAAGGTACGATACCAGAGGAAGGTCAGTTTGGGACTTTTGACGAAGGTAGCTATCAAGGAAATCCTTATCTTTGTGGCCGTCCATTACCTAACGAATGTACTAGCACTAGATCAACACCTGTCTTGCCATCTGTTGATGATGAAAGTGAGGAGCGCGGTTTCATGGACATGAATTTCTTCTACATAAGCTTCATCATATCTTATTTATGTGTAGTGCTTTGCATTGCTATAGTTCTATGCATAAATCCTCACTGGAGAAAAGCATGGTTTCATTCCATTGAGGCTTATATAATCCATTTTTGAGGCCATGTGTGTTGGACAAAACAAGGTATCTGCTTTAATTCTGCATGAAGATCATTATATAATATACTAACTTGTATAACTAATATATATTTAAAATCAGTCTAATCATTTGTCCTTTTTTTTCTACATTTGATAATTCGGAAGTTACGAAGCAGTGAAGCCACATATAACAGCATGGTGGGGAGTGAAGATGGCCATGTGTATTCATATTCAGTCATACAAATGTGAAATTACTTTCAATTCTGTACTTGCATTAGTATATAGGAATGTGATTTATTTCCCAGCTAAATGTTTTTGTTTGAGAAAAATAATGAGTAACATGGCATTTGATTTCTAAAATAGCAAGTATCAAACATTAGTTTAATAAAAAGACTTATATTAGAGCTTCTTTATTTATTCATTTTCCTTAGTCCATTTATAGAATTTGTGCATTACTTTTGAATCACATTTTGTCAAAGAGAGTGCGTGCAACCAATTATTCAGTTTGTTATTCTTGTTAAGAAAAATAATTGTATCTTGGAGGGATCATTTTTGGACTCTTCTTCTCTGGATGCAAACTTTCTTCAAAGCATTGGAGTAGTGACTTCTCTAAAGCATTTATCTTTGCGACTTCCCAACAAGGTAAAATTTTCAATTCCCAGTCTCTAAAGGTTTTGTTTATATATCCGCAAGGACCATGACATATATAAGTTTCTCTCTATGTTTATGTATGTTTTTCTTCAATTATTTCTATTTTTATATATATACATTTCTAGCAAAATGTAGCTGTCATTTAGATTTCGTTTTTAATCTGTGGGTAATTTTTCTTAAAAATATATATATAATAAATTACCAACCTACCAATTGTTGATTGAAAGGATAAAAAAAAATTAATTGAAATTTACCAACAGATTTGTTTTTTTTAATGCACTAAATATCTGTTTGTAATCTATTCATATTAATTTATGTAACTGTAAAATGTTTCCTACAACATTTTTTGTTAGAAAATGATTTAGAATTAAAAATAAATCAAAATCAAATATGAAAGCAAGCTGGCAAAACCCACGCCTCATCTCATCCCCTCTCTCGCTCTCGTCTCTATCTCTTGAAATACTCGGCATCGCCGACACCAGCCTTCAATTGATTGATACATCATCAATTATTGGGAATCTCCTTCTTCATTGTTCGGAGGTAGGCCATATAAGATTTAACTCTTTTAGATTTTTTTCTTCTCCATTATTTTTATTGCTACCTTTTTGCTATTTCCAGAAAGCTGTATTGGGGATTTCATTAGACTGCATTTGGCTGAAATTTGTGCGAGTTTTGTGGTGGAGGGAAGAAGACTGAAACTTGGGTGTCGGGCGAACTTATATTTAGGTAAAGCATAATCCATTATAATTCATATTTTTGTTGATAGCTAGTATCCTATTTCGATTTTAAGTTAGGATTACTGGGTTATGCTGCATTTGTTGTGGAAGATCAGGTTTTTTTTAATGGAGACTTACCTTCAATGTTGGAACTTTAAATTAGTAAATGGTAAAATACAACATTTGAATCGGTGAGTTTGCATTTGTAGTGGACGATCAGGCTTTTTTGGGCTTGCTTTAAATGATGGAGCTTCTGATTAGTAAATGGCAAAGTACAACCTTTGAATAATGAGACTAGAATGCATAATTTTCGTTGACTGACATATTAGATACTCCATTGTTAATTTAAGATTGATAGGCTATACTGAAATTATAGAGTGGAATATCAGGTTATCTCGATGTACACTAACTGTGTGAACTTCCTGGATCGGCCCCTGCAGGTGAGTAAATTAAGAAGTGTGTTAGGGAAAATTTGAGTAAAGAAAATGCATAGAAATTTGTAGTGGTGTGGAAGAATGGACATCTATTTTTACCTTGTAGAGTGCAATATACACTTGCATAGTTCTGGAACTGGGAACAAAATATTAAATCGTGAGTAGAGAGTTACTTCATTTTATTGATGATCTCTTGTTTTCACTATTTAATAATCTGTCTATTTAATAACCTGGGAAATTTAACTAGTTTAGTTTCAGATTTATTAATTTTTCTCATGCTCTTCTTATGCTGTTTGCTTGTCGAACTTAATCATAAGAAGAAATTACAAAGAAATGACGTGTTTATACTTGCTCAACATGTATATTACACATGTTTTCAATGAAGGCTAGAAATAGATTTGATTGGTGGGCGGTTGTGAAAACAAAAGCAAGAAATGTTCCCAACATACAAGGAATCATATCGGAGAATGAAGAGTGTAATGTATGGGCGGAACTTGCATTCCAAGAAACCTGTTCAAATAAATTCAGAATTTGATAGCCAAAAATTTAGGAAACATTTGACATGCTTATGGAAAAGGGGAAAATTCCAGGCTGAACAAGAAGCTAGGTGATGTTTTGGTTCAAGAGACGGGGTAGTGTTGTATGCCAACTCATACTGGAAACTCATGATGTTTTGAATCCTGTAACCCACTGCAATACAATGCTTGACGTGTGGTATATCAGAATATAAACGACATAATTGCTCAACGACATAAATCAATCAATGTAGATTATACTAAAAAGAGTTAGCTATGAAAATTTAAAATCCATGAAGCAAAAGAATGAATTAGGTCATCACGAAATCAAATACATTAATTCACAAAACCAGCCAATCTTGAAAATACAAACGAAAAGAGAAAAAAAGAATAAAAACCCATATTTAGAAACCACAAGATCGTGCATTTATACTTACAATCCCCATCACTAAACCCACAAATCCTGATCTTGAAATGTGCACAAAAATCACAACATGCATAATTTATCGTCGGAGATTAAAACTTCTATTGCATGTGGAAAAAACAAGAAACCAACTTTATAAAAACCAAAAACTTAACCAACAAAAGAAAAATTCAAAAAGAATTCTGATTAAAGTGAGAAAAAAACCATATAAATTAAAGCTCTGTGCTTGATGAAGAGCAAAAAGTGCTTACAGAGTTGGAATGCTTAAGTATGAGCTGGCTGAAGTTATTTGGTTCAAGAGACGGGGTAGTGTTGTATGCCAACTCATGATGTTTTGGTTCAAGAGACGGGGTAATGGTTCAAGAAAATTGGAATTGGAGTTACTACAACAGCTGGATCCATGCCAATAATCAGCATAATGTCGTAACCAAACCTGAGTGTTGCCCCTTGTAATCTGTTGGATAAGATTGAATTTTTTAAATTTTTTCGTTTCCTTAATCAAGCTGGAAGTATTGAGTGCTTCCCTAAACTCATGTTGGACACAATTTGTTCGGTTGGACGCCCCTTTTATTGTATTGGACAATCTTGTATTGTATTTGAGACCTCTTTTGCCTTGGAAGTGTTAGTTTTATTTCTTTAGTTCTATTTCTATGTTATTGGTTTGAAATTCCTGAAACTACCTATGAGGACTTCAGCTGAATCAAATATTGCTCTATGATAGGCTTCTATTCAGTCAGTCAAATAGGGTGAGGAGTATGTATGGAATTCAACACCAAAATAAGAATTGAAGTGGTTAGATTTTCATTTTCCAATCATCTGAAAATCTATTGTGATAATAGGACCAAGCTCATTCATAACATCAGTATGCCAGCCGCTAAAAGCACCCATGGCTTAGATTTAGATAATGTTAAGCCATCAATTCCTTCAATTCAGTTTTTGTTTAAAAGTAGAAGTATAGATTACTAAGGTAGACATCACTTCTTTTTTTCAAATGAATTAGTTTTTGAGTTGATTTTCCCATAAGAACGACCTGCTTTGGAACTCCTGGTGCAAACCCCTTACTGGAGCTAAATTTGATGTAGGTTGCATGTCATGAGTCATAACTCGACTGAGTCGCTGTTTGGTGCATCTTTGGTCATATTTAACAGATCTGAAAGCAGAAGGATACAAACCAATAATTCTAGATGTTATTTCAAACTCATCTTTCACGATTGGTGGGTTTGTTGAAAGCTTAGTGGTGGAGGAGCCTATATCTATGTTATTGCTGACTCCATTTTAGATTTGATACAGAATATGTTTAGTTGATTGAGCTTGTATATTAGAGACTGACTCACTTTGCAACTTTTACACTATTGTCAGCTATATAACTGCTTGCAGTTACCCCACCATTAGGAGTCTTGAAAAAATTTGAGGATTTATTGTACCTACAAAGCGAGAGACACAAACAACTAGCTGATTCTATCATCAATTTCAATGGTAGAAATCAGTTAGCTAATTCTTTTCCTTGCACAGAGATTTTAACTAATCTTTTTTTCTACATCAGTACTTCATATGCACGAATCAAATGCCATTTTTTATCCACATAATGATAGAGAAATCATGATGTCCTGTTTGATTCATTCCTAATCAAGGATCTTTTAAACTGAACTCTTGATTTATTGATTGTTTTCAGCATGAGAAGTTAGGCAAGCCACCTACTGCTTCAAAGTTATTTGAACGTGTACACCATCGAAACAAAGGAGAAGTAGACTTCGTAGACAGAAAGTCATGGATTTTGTGAGTAAGAAGAAATAAATTCAGTTTCTTTAGACTCTATACTCTAAATTTCATGTTATTAGCTAGCTAGTCCTAGACACTAAATGGTGGTTGGATGATTACCTTGGAGTTTTCATGGGCTCATTATTAGCTCGTGTACATTAAGTTACTTAGAAGTAGTAGTGTCACCTCTTCATTTGTTCCGTCATGTTTCTATTTATTGTTGGTTTTCTTAGGGTCTAATATATGTGTAGTTAAGAACTTTATATTGTATCTTCCAGCTAACTGAAGTTATATATTGTCGTAGCACTAAATAACTTCTAATCCATTCTGGTTTTGGGCCTAAAGAAATTTGGATGATTTGTTGATAGCATTATTTAATGCATTTTGATTCCTTGGCATTGATATTTGATGAAAATCAGCATGTATCCAGAATTGATTGGTAATGCACAAAACATGATGGTTTTGGCTTGAATGACCCTTCAATTTTTATGGCTTTGGATTGTCTACATTCTGGCCATTGGCAAGGACAGCAACATTAGCTACTGTGGTACTGAAAACAGGCTGAGCAATGTTACTAATTTCGCTTCTAATATATAATAATTCATGCCTTCTTTCCTTTTATAAAGTCGAGCTACTTCTTCTTTTACAGGAAAAATATGACACTACAATTCATGAAAAATATGGTTCGAATGTGTCACAACCTGAAATTGACATGAAGCATGGTGTGAAGCAACTCAAGATCCTTGTAAAGGTGGTCGCTTGTACGGGCTTGGTATTCAATGAAAATCTTTGAACAAAGATGACACCTCCTCTGGTTCACCTAATGTTCCATGTGATGGCACAAGCTGATTTCATCACTTTACAAGAGGAATTTCGTTCTGCTTGTAAGAAGATAGATAAACTTACAAGGGAAAATGATGGATTACTTAAAAAAATGAAGATGATAGGCAAGAAGAAGAGAAAAAAGTGCATTGAATTCAAAATGCCATACTTCGAACATTAGGAGAATGGAATCGATCACGAGATTAGTCGATTTGAGCACAATGATCTTCAATGGTTGGGCATAGTAAATGTTTCTTTTGTTTATAAAAATTTACCATCGAATGTGTGTAGAACTTCCTTTTGCTAATTGATCAGGCGTATGATTTTAAAATTGACTTTTGAAATGGAAGCAAAACTAATCTAATTTTTTGTGACTTTGAACCTTGAATTAATTGAATGAAAATATTTGTATTTCATTTTTGTTTATTTATGATTTTATTTTATATTTTTTAACTTTCTTAATAGTTTTAATTCACAATAGAAATTACTAATATAATAATTAATGGATTTCTTTTTTAAAATTGTAATCCAAATTTTCGACCAAAAAAAAACGAAGATTCGTAGTTATTTAGGAACAAATAGTTTCGTACAAAATATGTAGGTAGTTAGCGACAGAAAAAATGGAAGATTTGTAGTTATTTAAGAACAATTAGTTCCGTAGGGAATATGTTGGCAATTAGCGAGGAAATAGAAACGGAGGATTCGAAGCTATATAAGAACAATTAGTTCCGCAGGAAGTATGTTGGTAGTTAGTGATGGAAACCAGAACAGAAGATGTGTAGCTATTTTAGGAACAAGTAATTAAACAGTCGTCAATCACAAACGGATTAGTGATGAAATTTCTGTCACCAATTACTACGACAAATTTTACTAGTGGACATTGACACACTTTTCCCGTCGCTATTACCAACGGCCAATATAAATCCGTCACTACAATTATCGGCAAGATGTTTATCGTCGAATTTACCGACGGATGGATTCCATCTCTAAAGGTTATTACCAACGGATTTTGGGACTTCAATGACACAATTCTGTCTTTGAAACTGCATTTTTTTGTAGTGAGTTACGAAATTGGGTCCCTAGCTTCCAACAAGAGGTTTTCAATTTGTTAAATTGCCATATAACTCTATCTCACATTTTGAGAATTCTTGATCTCTTACGTAACAACTTGTGCAGAAATTTGCCAACTTGGTTCTTGAAAAACAACACTAGATTCAAAGGAGCCTACTTTAGAGATAATGCTTTTAGAGTAACTCAAGTTGCCGGCAAGTATCAATCTCAATATGAAGACTTTTGATATTTCTAAATAATAAATTTATAGGACGTATTCCAACTAATATAAGTGCAGTATTTCCAAATTTAATTCCAATAAACATGTACAAAAATGTGCTTAATGGCCGTGTAAGTATTATGTTCTAAGTCCAATTGATTTTATATGTAAACACTTGTAATATGATTAATGCACATTATTTATGGAAGATATATTATTTAATTGAATTTTTATTCTGAAAAAATAAATTGATAGAGTCAATAGATTTAAATTTTGATAACTTAGTAATCACAATGAATTGTGATTGTGAGAAATAAATTACATATGACTGAATATTGAAGACCTGCAACAAGAAATAAGTATCGATATTTTCGATAAATCAGCACGTATGGAATTTCTCCCTTATGAAGTGAGTAGCTAACATTTAAATGGATGACTGGATATTTTATTAAGAGAACAAAATATTGGAGATCTGTAACACAGATTTCACATGGATAACTATCTTAGAATCAGTGATTAATATCTAATGTTCGATAGTGGAATTGATCCTTCAACTTGTTGTCATTAAGTACCTTATATGAACACAATCATATTTTGGTGGTGTTAGATGTTGCTTTACCAAGAGTCACCAATATGACATCGTTCGAGTACATGTTAAGAATCGTATGAATGTTGTGAATATCAATAGAGAATTTAATACTCGTAGATAGTAAGAGATTATGTCTACGTTCCATTCAATTAAGTTGATATCGAAATAATTTGCCAAGCACGTATGTTGAAAAGAGTTTCCATTATCATTGGCTTAAAGTAGAATGAAAGATATGATCGATAATCTAGATTTACAAACTTTCATATCTCATACTTGATCGAATCATATTGACGAATGGTTTATAATTTCTTAGCAAATGAACAAATTAGATTTTATTATACCACGTGATATTTTCGGTCACATGTAATACCCTTACGTAATGCAAAGCAATTTTATGAATTAATTAATCAAGATAAATTAATAATAAATTAAAAATAATTTAATTTATCTTATTTTGATTATATCAAAAGCAATAATTCATGTTCTTTGATATCATGATTTGAAACCTAATGACTTCCACATAAAAGGAAAAGCTAGACGAATGATAATATAAATTAAATCATTGATAGGTGTTGGACATTTGTAGAATCAATTATTTGGATTGTCTATTATTAATTAATTAGATTAATTTATTCAAAAACCAAGTTCAATTAATTAGATTAATTAAATATTCGACTAGCTTACGTTTAATGGTGGGTCAAACCCAGTTAACATCTATTAATAAGTACAAAAAAGAGAAACATAATCTCTTATTCTTGTTCTCCCATGCGGCCTATCATTGGATGTTGGATAATTGAACAAATGTGGTGTAAAAATATTGTGACTCACAAAGGCGTGCAAAGATCGTGACTGTTTATTATCAAAATTCTCAAAGAAGTTTAAAGGATTTGCTAAATGTAAAATTCTCATCACAGATTCTATTTATATAAAAAGACAATTCTTAAAGGGAACTAAAATTATTTTTAAATTTCATTGTGTATGCATAAGTAAATTCCCAACAGATTATTTACTATAAAGTGACAATGACTTGAAATCTTTAGTGTCAATCTTGATTCTTTTGACCTCTCAAATTTATCAGAGAACAATTTATATAGCTTAGTTGCGTCTTGCTTCAATACATCAAGCATAAGTTTGGTCTATCTAGACAATAACCAATTGGAAGGTGCACTTTCACATGGATTTTTTAACAATTCATTTTTGGTAACATTAAATCTTAGAAAGAATAAATTCATAGGATGCATCCCTCAATGGATTGGTAATCTATCGAGCTTGAGCATTATTCTACTTGGAGGCAATCATTTTGAAGGCATAATTCCGAATCAACTATCCCAAATTAGGATTAGCATTATAGACCTATCTTATAATAGCCTCAGTGGTTAGATGCCACACTATTTGGGTAACATAACACTAGAGGTAAACGAGAAAAAGTCTACGATGGTTTAAGGAGATATCTTTTCTTCAATAGTCACACTCAGATCATTGCTAGGCTGGTGCCTCTTCGGCATCAACAACCAGTTCGGAGGAAGGCAATTTTGAGTTTACCTTATTTTTGTCTCCCTCTAGATAATCTAGACAACGATGAATGTCCTTAGCAGAATCGAGGAAAACTATCTAGTGAAAATGGGTATGTTTTCGAATGAATGTTGTAACATTGTAGAAAGAAGCCAAGCACGTCCTTCCCTTATGAGTAAACGAAAACCACAATAAAGTTTGGTTATAAAAAACAAAAAAGATTGAATGAAGACCCACAACAAGATGGGGTGCCTCTTTAGAAAGATTTAGAAAAAAAAAAAAAAAAAAAAACGCTCCTTAAAAAACATGGATTGGATTGAGTTTGAAAAGGCCTATCATGTGTATATCCAAAAAGTAGAAGAATTTGAACTCTTGGATGGGCAAGTTACTGCAACATTACAACAAAGAAAATTTTGTATTCTTGTAAGGGTGGTATCCATAACCGCAGATCAAGAATTGATCTCTCTTCTAATTATAAATTATATGGTGAAGTTTCAGAGGAACTTAGAGAGTAAAGGGAGATATACGAACTGAACTTGTCCTACAACAATCTTAGCCAAACAATTCTAGCAACATTCACAAGTCTACATCAACTAAATAGTTTGGATATCTCCCATAACCACTTATAAAGGAGAACACCACTGGATTGATCAAGTTAAACTCTTTTGATGACTTCATTGTGGCGTATAAATTTTGGAAACAAAAGATATCTCTCAATATCAGTTTTTTATACAAATATAATTGATAAATGTATCTAGCGAGAGTCCTATGAGATGGGGTCTGAAATTGAGGACATGTTACCCTAGTAAAGAGTCCAAATTCACGAGCTTCAACAATCCTAAAAGGTAGTTATCTAGTATTATCACCTTAGCACATGCAACTCTGACCTCTTTCTTACTATGACCAACAGCTATAAGATTCCTCCCATAAACCTCTTTTCGATTCTCAAAAGATATGATTTTTTGCTTCTTATCTGCAATATACCAGAATACTTCTTAAAATTATTTGTGAAGTGGTTACCCAAAGTGCTTGTACCATACTTAGAGCCATAGGCATAATGCACTCCACATGATTACACTTTCACCTAACATCTGGATCATCCCTTGGGCCCAATAATGCAAAGAAATCCCAAACACATGAAGCTATTCTATTAGAATTTCACTTTCCTAATGTTGACAGTGGATGTGGAGGAAGAATTGATGGCATATATGTGTCAATAGAGTTACTGTGAAATTAATCAACCAAATAAAACTATAAATGTATTAATGCACCATGAGAAAGTAAGAATATTGCACCCGTGTTCATTTTACTTTAGGCTTTTCCAAGTAACAACAAAACACATTAACTTGCATTAGTACCACCACAAAAAAATGATTATTAGTACCACCATGAAATAAATTGAAGTGCCAGAATATGTGCTTTACAAACTTCAATAAACGTGTGGATGGAAACACCAAACTATAAAAAAGGATAATAGTCACAATTCACAAACAATGATAATAACATTTATTATATTCGTGCACTTCCAATTGCAAACTCACAAACACTGATAATACCTTCAAAATTCAGATTTCAACTGCTATATTCAAAAAAAAAAAAAAAAAGGATTTCCAACTATACTAGAAAAAATCAACACCATATGCTGACACCATACAACTTCTTTAAGTTGGATAATTAAATTGTAATTCTTTAAATTATAAATTCAGCAAACACTACCTTGTAAGAATCTTCCCCCTTCAATCCAAGTGTTTAGCAACAAAACCCCGTAAAAAAATTGAGGCAAGAGGCTGAGGCACGAGCAAATATGAGAGAAGATGAGAGGTAGATGAGACAAGAGGTAAAGAAGAAAATTGAAAAGTTTGAAATTGATTTTTAGGTCTTTGGTTTTTAAGTATCAGTATTAGTTTTTTAAATATCTTTTAATTTATTGGATTGGGTTGAGCTGATTTCAAATGGATAACCCAAGATCCGAATCAACCAACCTAAAATTTAATTTCTTACCCTAACCTAAGTCAATTGAACTAAAAAACCAACTCAAACTT